TTACGGACACCTCTTGCTCTGAAATATTGCATCAAAATGTCTGTGCTGTTGCGATCCTGAGTATGCTGTTCAGGTGTGTATCTGTAAGCTGCAAACCTACAACGACGCAGCAGCAGCAGCAGCAGCAGCAGAACTGGAAGAAGCAGAAGGCAGCCAGTTCCACTGTGGGCCTGATAGAAGCCCTGGGGGGGGGGGGTTTGATTCCCCACTTCTCCACTTGCAGCTGCTGGTGCGACCTTGGGTCAGTCACAAGTTCTCTCAGAGCTGTTCTCTCAAGAGCAGTCCTGGAAAGAACTCTTTCAGCCCCGCCTACCTCACAGGGTGCCTGTTGTGGGGAGGGGAAGGGAAAGGAGTTTGTAAGCCGCTCTGAGACTCCGAGTGAAGGGTGGGGTATAAATCCAATCTCTTCTTGAGAACATAAGAACATAAGAGAAGCCAATGCTGGATCAGGCTAATGGCCCATCCAGTCCAACACTCACACAGTGGCCAAAAAATACCAGGTGCCATCAGGAGTTCCAGCAGTGGGGCCAGTACACTAGAAGCCCTCCCACACACACCTCCCAAGCACCAAGAATACAGAGCATCTCTTGCCCCGGACCGAGAGTTCCTATCTATACCTTGTGGCTAAGAGCCACTGATGGACTTCTGCTCCAGATGTTCACCCAATTCCCTCTTGAAGCTGTCCATGCTTGTAGCTGCCACCACCTCCTGTGGCAGTGAATCCTATGGGTTAACCATTCTTTGGGTGAAGAAGTACTTCCTTTTATCTGTTCTAACCCGACCGCTCAGCAATTTCATGGAGTGCCCACGACTTCTTGTGTTGTGAGAAAGGGAGAAAAGGACTTCTTTCTCAACCTGTTCTATCCCAGGCATAATCTTATAAACCTTGATCATGCCACCCCTCAGCCGTCATTTTTCCACGCTAAAGGGCCCCAAGCGCTTTAACCTTTATTCATAAACTTTATTAATAACCTTTATCTCTTCAAAACCATTAGGAGAGGAAGCAAAGTGTTTTGTGGAACCGTCAGGCACATCTAGGCCAGGACCAGTGTTCCCTCTAAGCTGAGCTAGTGTGAGCTAGCGCACAGGTTGTTAGCCTACGACTCACACATATTTTGTCTCGGCTCAGGAAGGGATGGCTCCAGAGCAAACTAATTTATGCAGCAGCCAAATCGCCCGCTCACAACTTTAATGCCAGTAGCTCACAAAGTAGGATTTTTGCTCACAAGACTCTGCAGCTTAGAAAGAGCATTGGCCAGGACCATGCAAAAATGCGCCAAATGGGGAGGGAGAAAGGACCCCACCCCCCCCAGCTTGGTGTGGAAAAGTGAGGAAGGAGGGAGGGAGACCAGGACCAAAGGAGTAGGGAGTAAGGAGCCCTTTCTTTCCCAAGGGCATCCTCCTCCCCACAATCCTTTGAAGAAAACACCCAAATGCCCGGGATAACTCCGGCTCCCCAAAGCTCACACAACAGTCCAGCGAGGTAGGCCATGCCTCTCCCCATTGTGGGCCCGGGAGTTTTAATCAAGGCAGCCACAGAATGAGCGACTGGGAATAGGCCTGGGAACAGTGATCCCTCTAAGCTGAGTTAGCACGAGCTAGCTCACCGGTTTTTTAGCCTCCGGCTCACACGTTTTTGCCTTGGCTGGGGAAGGGGGGCTCCAGAGCAAACTAATGGATGCAGCAGCCAAATCGCTGGCTCACAACTTTGATGCCAGCAGCTCCCAAAGTAGAATTTTTGACTCCACAGCTTAGAGGGAGCATTGCCTGGGAATACCTCCGCCATCTCCAGCAGGGCAAGTGGGGTGGGGTGGGGTGGGGGTGGTTCATACCCTCGGGTGGGAAGGGTGGGGGGGAGGTTTGCAACAGCCAGGACGGCTCCGAGGCCGCTCGTAAAGGCCTCTGCACAGATCTTCTGGGCAGACGGGCCCCGCCACGTGCGGGGGAATTGCTTCTAGCGCAGACAGCCATGAAAGGCGGGCGGATGCCGGGACCGAAAGTCCCCCGCCTCCCATTCAGAGAACGAGCGCTTCAGGGCTTTATGGCGGCCATCCCAGCCGCGAGAGGGGGGGGGGGAAGTCAAGAATTCTCACCTCCCGGGGAAAAGGGGGCATTTGGGCCCCCTGGTAGATTCGCCTGAGAGATCCCATCTGGAAATTGGAGGCGCTTCGGCTGGGCTTCGGTGCATAAGAACATAAGAGAAGCCGATGTTGGATGCTGCATGCTGCAATATCCCCCCCCCCCCCTTTTACCTGTTTAAAATGGATATGATTTCAGTGCTTAAAAATTATTATTGTTATTATTCAGTCCCCAAGCAAGGTTTACAGGACAGAAATCGAGACTGAGTGAGAAATGGACGGGAAGGATATTTTATGAAGGAAAAATCAACATTAAAGGTACATCAAGGAACAGGAGGAATCGGTTTCAATTGGATAGAAGCACCCAGATGTTTTCAGCAGTGCATTGGTGGTTCAGTGGTAGAATTCTCGCCTGCCACGCGGGAGGCCCGGGTTCGATTCCCGGCCAATGCATACATATTTTTTTAATTTTGCTTTTGTTTTTTTCTAAGAAGCAAGAGGTATCGACATCAGCAGAATCAGGAAATTTGACACGTTTCAGCTATAATCTGATTTTTTCCCCACTTTCCTTTCTTCATCAAGCATAGGCACAGGGAACAGAACAAAAATCCCATGTGGCAGTTTGTGTTAAACTGAGCCCCAAACAACACCAAATACAGCCTGTTGTTGTTCAGTCGCACAGTCGAGTCCGACTCTTCGCGACCCCATGGACCAGGCCTAGGAGCTTTCTAGTTCTTTGGACTATAGGACCTGTCCGACTTGATAAAGAGTTCTGGAGAAAGTGAAAGCTTTTTACATTGGGATGTCTAAGAAAGTTTGAATCCAGTGGCACCTTTAAGACCAACAAAGTTGAATTCTGGGCATAAGCTTTCGTGCGCACGGCGCACACTGGTATCCATGCAGGCAAAAACTTCTACTCAGAATTAAACTGTGTTAGTCTGAAAGGTGCCACTGGACTCAAACTTTGTGCTGTTGCTTCAGATCAACACTGCGACCCACCTGAATCTATTGGGCTGTATAGTTTGCGTTGATCTTACTAAAAGGTATGACAACATTCTCCCGGACGTTTTGTTTTGAGTATTGTTATCGACCATCGTGGCGCCCTACTACTTTTTAAGGAGCCCAAAAAAGGGTGAGCGCCTAGACGTTGGTGGCACAGAAAAACAACACATGATTAAATAATTCAACATTTGGCAAAACACGTATTGCATTGGCCGGGAATCGAACCCGGGCCTCCCGCGTGGCAGGCGAGAATTCTACCACTGAACCACCAATGCTTCTCGAAGCACAGCTGGATGACTGTCCATAGATAAAACAGGCTAGCCCAACTCAAGCCTGGTGTTTTAAATGTAGGTAGGTCTCCATGTTCTTCTGAACCGAGAGGACACAGAGTGTGAGTCCAGGAGTACCTTGAAGACCAACAAAGTTTTATTCTGGGTAGAAGCTTTTGTGTGCACATGCTTCCCCGCGCGTGTGAACGCTGGACGCGAGCAAAGCTGCCTTTCGCCTCCCTGCAGCCCTTCCGTGCAAGAGCCCTGGACAGCGGGGGCTCTCGGCGGGAGGCTGCGGCAGGCGCCTGGGGGCGTGAAGGCTCGTGGGCCGGCCACAGATGCTGTCGACACCTCTTCGCCCCCCAGGGAGGTGCGAACTCGGCACGTCGCGATCAAAGAGCAGGCGAGGCGCGGGAGGCCATTTGACACCTGGGCGTGTGGACGGCTTTCCCAGGGCCCTCGAGGGAAGGGGGGGTGGGCGAGGGCTGTCTGGAGGTCTTTTGCAGCGGATGAGGAGGCAGTAAAGAGGTGTCGTGCATCGGGTGGAATAGCGGGAGGGTGAATTCCGACGGAGGGCTGGGCGCTGGACCAGAGTGAGAACTTGCAAAAGGTTGCCCTGTCGGTCGGAAGCAGCCGCGCAAAGCTCGAGTCCCGGTGTGGCGCCTTGGAATACCAACAAAGTTTTATTCAAGGTATAAAGTGCACACGGAAGCTTATACCCAGAATTGAATTTTGTCTGTCTTCAAGGTGCCCCCGGACTCGAAGTGGGTTCTGTCGCAAAAGGACGGGCAAAGGCAGTGTTCCCTCTAAGCTGAGTTAGTGTGAGCTAGCTCACTGTTTTCTAGCCTCCAGCTCGCACATGTTTGTCTTAGCTCAGGAAGGATGGGCTCCAGAGCAAACCGGTTTCTGCAGCAGCCCAATCGCTCGCTCACAACTTTAATGCCAGCAGCTCACAAAGTAAGAATTTTTGCTCACGAGACTCCACAGCTTAGAGGGAGCATTGGACACAGGTGAGCCGCTGGAAGAGAGCGTCTCTGAGACTGTGCAGAGCGCTTTTCCCGGGGCTTGGCTAGCCCCCACCGCTAAGATTAGAGAGAGCAGGGAGGTCCCAAGTCGCGTTGCATTGGAAGAGGGCATTCTTTCATAGAAACGCATCCAGGCAGGCACTTGCAGCCCGACCTACCTCACAGGGTTGTTGTGAGGATAAAATGGAGGAGAGGAGAAGAATGTAAGCTGCTTTGGGTTCCCCTCGGGAGGAAAGATGGGTAGAAATGAATACAATAAGTCCACGAAACAGCTGTGGAGGAGGCAAAAATATAAAAGTATTTGGAGAACGTGTGGAACAGCTGCATTGGTGGTTCAGTGGTAGAATTCTCGCCTGCCACGCGGGAGGCCCGGGTTCGATTCCCGGCCAATGCAACAGTCTCTTTTTTTGGTTCTTAAACAGATAATGGAATAGGAGGGTGGTCCTGGAATCAGTCTAGCAATTGGGGGGGGGCTGTGGGTTCCCCTTCGAGCGCCCCTCAAAGTGAAGCCAAGGGGTCTGATTTGGGAAGCAGGGCTTGGAGAGGGGCGGGGTAGGCCCGCCTGCTCCAGATGTTCTTCTACCCTCTAAGCACGTCCCCCCCGCCCTACCGTCTGCTCCCCCCACGGGGGGGGTTCCTTGGCTCTCCTCCTCCTCCTCCCCCAGTTTACGACCCTGGGAAAGCCTTCCACACGCCCGGGCGCCAAGGGCCTCCCTCGCCTCGCCCGCCCTTTGATCCGCCTCCTCCGAGGTGCCAAGTTGGCACCTCCCGGCAATCTCCTGCCGGGCCGGCAGCCCACGAGCCTTCGCACTCCCGGGCACCTGCCGGAGACCCCCGCCGAGGGGCTGGGGGGGATTCTGCAGAGGCAGAGGGGGAGCGGGATCTCAACGGGTCTGGAATGGGCACCGTTTGGCAGAGGCAGATGTTCAGACGACACCCCTATTCGTCCCCCCCCCAGCCCCTCCGAGGCAAGCGCCTCGGTCGTCCTGGGGTTGCCACCAAGTGGAAAGGCCCCCACCCCATATCTGCTCTGCCTTGTCTCTGCTCTGGGT